GTTTGGTGGTGTTTAAAATAGGGTTAAATTTAATTTTCAAGATGCTCCATTCTTTGTGTTCCTTTTGATTTTATTCTTCATGAATTACTGCATATCTCTTATTGCTGATGTGTTATTCTAATAATTTATTTTAATATAGGTTGCCAGACTTACATCTTATTTTGTTAAGTTATTAAATTTTCTGAAATTATGGGACCTCTCAATCAGTCGGGCAAGGGATGCATTTCAAACTAGTGTTGTCGATATTTTAGACCAAAATATCGCTAATATTGTATCAATATGTTAAGGCCGATATATCGTCCGTATCGATAACTTTATCTCTAGAAATATCGAAAAATATCGAATGAAGGTGATATTTTTTTAGGTTATTAGTATTATTACAGAAGTTTGCAGAAATTCTGCGAAAAGCCAATGGTGGTCGCATCTCGTAGTCGTAACCTCTTAACGTCACATAGCATTGGGTATATTCCAAAAAAGCACGGCAAAGCATGGACCCGATTGTACCGTCTGCGCGTCACGAGCACAAGCCTCCAAAATGGCGGCTCAAATCGAAATGCGACCATCTACCTTACCACCATTACCATTCCTTTTTTTTCATCCCCTCGCATGTCTACAGCTCGCATTGCAGTTGTAATTGGATGGAAATTTTCTAATTTTCTTAAATTCTTTCCTTGAAACCACTGTAACTTGTAAGTTTTGGTGCTAACCTCGCCCATAACCATGCCCAGTCCACTGGATTGTTATTTTGAAAAATTAAACTGCATCAGAAACAGTAAAAGGTGCAGAAAGTGTAGCCAGGGGGGTGAGGTGTATCAAAAAGTTATGAAAATATAGATTTTTTCGATATTTGTGAGTATCGATTTTTCTGAGCTCGATATAAATCAGGATCGATTTCTTTAAGAAAAAATATCGATACATCGGATATCGATACCAACCGTAAATATCCACAACACTATTTCAAACTCATACATTGTATAGTGAGCAGGTTGTTAGGACAAGATACAAGATATGTTACTTTTTGCTTGTGGGTTGACATAAACCATGCCTCTAATTCCGCCGTGCTAGGGAAGAACGCTGTAAGAGCCTCCAGACGTTGCCGAATTACCTCTAACAGATGAAAAATTTTAGGGAAAATTTGAACATATTTTTCTCCCGAATTTCCAAAGAATTTTGTTTGTTAATACATCTAAAGTATCTAAAAATTTCAAGGAAAAATATTCATAAATTTCTTTTAAAAAATTATATACATATTATATACAGGGTGATCCAAAAGTCCCTTCCACCCCCTCTAACTTTTCACCTAATTGAGGTAAAGATTTGAAACTTGGGGGATATTCCTAGGTCAAAGGGAGCTACTTTTTGGCCCCCCTAAAATTTTCAGGGGGGGCCCCCCTTGGGGGGGGGGGCAACGGCCCCCAACTTTTAATTTTCAAATGGGAAGACCCCCTTTGTGATAGCTCGTTCGAAAGAGCATAAAAAAAGAAAACTTTTCGCGCAAACCCGAAGTCAATAACTCAAACCGTTTCAAAATGGCGGCCGGTTAAAGTTCAAAATGGCCGAAAATTCACACCGGTTATTTGTCGATGGATTTGCGCGAAAATCGGTATGTAGGGGTATTTTGACACGAGAAAAACGAATTTGACGTTAGATTTTCAAAAAAACCGAAATTTCCAAAATGGCCGCCGGTTAAAGTTTAAAATGGCCGAAAATTGTCACCTCGGTTTTTTGCTGATGGATTTGCCTTAAACTTGGAATTTGAGAGTATTTTGGCATAAGATAAACAAATTTGAACTTAGATTTCTAAAAAAATCAATTTTTTGTCATTTTGAACTTTAACCGGCGGCCATTTTGGAAATTTCGGTTTTTTTTAAAATCTAACGTCAAATTCGTTTTTCTCGTGTCAAAATACCCCTACCTACCGATTTTCGCGCAAATCCATCGACAAATAACCGGTGTGAATTTTCGGCCATTTTGAACTTTAACCGGCCGCCATTTTGAAACGGTTTGAGTTATTGACTTCGGGTTTGCGCGAAAAGTTTTCTTTTTTTATGCTCTTTCGAACGAGCTATCACAAAGGGGGTCTTCCCATTTGAAAATTAAAAGTTGGGGGCCGTTGCCCCCCCCAAGGGGGGCCCCCCCTGAAAATTTTAGGGGGGCCAAAAAGTAGCTCCCTTTGACCTAGGAATATCCCCCAAGTTTCAAATCTTTACCTCAATTAGGTAAAAAGTTAGAGGGGGTGGAAGGGACTTTTGGATCACCCTGTATTATAAACATACATATATTATATATTTTTGAAGAGGAAATTTGGCAACACTAGAATGCTCATGTGACGTTTTCACCAAGCACGGCAGAATTAAGAGCTGACTGTGAGTAATTGAGAGACCATGTCAAATGCTTAGCTAAGTTCTTGCAATGAAAGAGGACGAAGTAAGATAAACTTACACGCAATTTTATCGCCTTCCTTGAAGCAGATGAAGTTTAACAGGGCTTCTGTAATATTTTGAACAGTGTTCTTCAAGGCTTTTTCAGACTCCTCCAAACATGGCTCGACAGCAGATGTGAAATTCAGGATACAGCCCTTCAGAATTGGCGATTTCCTGGGAGAAAGAACGCACAAATAATATTGCCTTCCATAAGTACATTTAAAAGCTCTATTTTTGAATGTCAGGGGCATATGATCAATAGCCAGGCAACTTCCCGACGGAAGCCGAATATATGAAAGATACTTGCACCAGATTCATTAGTAATCACATAATCCCTAAGAAAGGCCAAATGATGCTCCGGCAAAATCAAGGCAGGCGGCAGCGACAGGGCATGGTGCCCCTGTCAGTGTCCTGACCTAACCTAACCTAACCTAACCTAACATAACCTTACCTAACATGACCTAACCTAAGGAAGGAGAGCTGGACGCATGTGGTCAATAATTCCTCCGGATACTTTCCTATTAGTATATTTTCATGTATTTCAACGTGAAGTAGAATAGGTATTGCATTGGTCACTAGTGGAGGATGGTAAAATTATTAAAATAAAAATTTTTGTTGCATTTTGCCACATTAATTTTTCTTGTTTCATTTAGCCACACAGCACCTAGAGTCTGTGGCAATTTGCAACAATTTTGTTGCAGTTCGCCACGTTGCCAAATGGGCCGTGGCTAAATAAACAGATACCGCTTTACTTGCTACTCAATTTGCACGCATCGAAGGTGAGCACATTTCGTTCCGCCTGCGGCCGGCCGTAAGCGGCGCGTCCTGAAATTTACCTGCTCCCGCACTGGACCTGAGCGTTCATTTGACCAAGTTTCAATAAACTCAGGGTCCCCGTTGATAATAAAAGAATTATAGAGGGGTGCAGAAATACATCGCTACCTAACGGTAGGTTTCCGTTATAAACAGGGCCATTTACGTGTGCAAGGAACAGATGTATTAATATTTCGATGTCTTATCTATTGTAGGCGCGCCATTTGAGGGGAGGGGAGAGGGGGGCAAAGGCCCTGCATTTTGGAGGTCGAACGGGGGAAAACCGTTTGGCACGACGAGAGAGAAAAAAAAGCGGGAAAATCCCGCTGATTTCGCAGGAGTATGCTGCTGGCTACTTCACTGACGGGTCACAAGGTCAGTAAATAAAAAAATTAAAAAAACAAATTTCATTTTGTGTCCGGCCCTGCAAAAATCTGAAATGGCGCTCCTGTCTTACTGACATGCTGATATGGGCTTCGACGAACAGCCGAACACTCGCCTGGCACTCGTGGGTTCTGTCTCGTCATTTTCTGCGATAACAGACGGGTGTTGTGCCAGCCAATACGTAACAAGTCATTTTACAAGGGTTGTAAATAAAGTAGAGACTGTCACCCTCCGGCCAAAGTATCATAAGCGCCACTTTGCAAACTTTTCAGGAGGCACGAAAAAACTGATTTGCGGCCGCATAAGACGGAGTTTCGGCTTGAAACTTGGAATACTGATCCAGCACAACTTCCTGCCATGAATTTCAATAACATTTCTTTTAAAAAACACATTTTTTCTTTCTTTGAAAACAGGCACTTTTGATACCGCGTTCTTGGGGCATACTGAGAATCCCTGGTGCTTGAGATACGAAAGCTTTTCATATTTAAAGGAATTTATTCCATTTTTATTTATTTTTAATCCAAAGAAAATTATTACTTTATTATGTAAAAGTATCTTATTAGGTAATTCAGAACCATCCAAAACTCAATTCCGATAAAACTAGCACTTGTGTTACTCCGGCCGGAAAGTGTCAAATCGCTCAAATTGCTCCAATCGCTTTTGACTGTTGTTGATTGTGAAATTGTAAAAACAATCCCTAAGATGAGCGATTACCCAACTTGGCGCTTGTGACACAGAAGTGAATCAACTTCAACAAAGTATTTTCCAAATTTATTTATTTCTATTGATTCTAAAAAAATTTATTCAAAATAACGAGATGCATGCATTTACATACGCAAATAATTTAGCTTCAAGTCACTCCAAGAGTTGCTGTGACAAAAATTGTGAACAATCAGAGAGGCCGCGCGGTTGCCGAACTTGGCGATTGTGATACTTCTCTCCCAAAGGATCTTGCTATACGAAAGTACATAAACTTAAATCGATATATAATTGTAAGTCGTAATGCATTTTCAGTAAGATCAATACCATGTATCTCAAATTTGAACCACTGGGTGAATTATTTAAGGGAGATCGAAATTTCAGTCTATGGACAGATCATTGAAATGTTTGTTCCGAAAATCATCTTTTGACATGATAATTAAAACCAGTACTTTTGACTTTCATTTTAAGACTTTAAAAGACGATTTCTGGCATGAACATTCCTAATGATTTATCTAGGTATACACTGAAATTCCGATTCTCCTGAAAAAATCTATCTCCTGTCGATAGCCGCAAAAAGTATAAAAATCGGCCCGTGACCGCTAGAACGAAATGTGACAAATAAACAACTGTAACTGGAAATGAATGTTTCTTAGGAGGTTGAGAGCTTTCAGTATAGACTGCACAAGAGCAGAAGATAAATCACGGCAACGAACGGCTCATGTTATTAGTTATATCATATCACTTACTTGCAATATTTACGAAAGACAATATCCAGGTCACCCGTCGGTTTGGCCTCCTCAATTTCAGTCTTCAGCTCGGTGTAGTTCAGAAGACCTTTCAGACAAACTTGAGTTTCGTCTTTCACAACCTTTAACATAAAATAATGGGCATGATCAGTGGCTTTGGAATGTTCAGTGCTCACTGTTGGACTTAGGAAAACATGGAAAAATGATTGAATAGGTAAGTTCGTGACGTATCAGGAAGACAATTAGGTACAGTTAGTGCTCCTTTATTTACTTGTGACAGGACCTTCGTTTTGCGTATTTCAGGACGCAGTGTGGATGTTATAAAGCCGCGCGTTCCATTGTGCGTCTTGCGTATACTAGCGTATTTTATGTTGAAATTGCGTATTTTCGTATTTTTTCCATCCGATACTATGGAGATTTGACCACGCCAAACTCGCTTGACCAATAGGCAGGTTCTTTTGTACAACAGTGTAAACAGGGAGGTTGTTTTTTGTTGCCGCCATTTTGGATTGTGTTTGTTGTTTTGTTGTTAAGAGGTGAACCCATGTTTAACCCTAAATAGAAGTTCCTACATACAGGGTGTTTCAGACCACCAATACCAGGCCTTTTTCTCGGTTGTTGTAGGTCGTACAAGTCGGAGACCGTGGGGTTGAATAAGGAATTGACCCCAAGGAATCCAAATTTCGTAGTCCTGAACCCCCCCCCCCCTCTCCT